CAAGAAGAGGCTGGAAACAGAGCAGATGGCAATGATCAGATAGATGTTGATCGAGTCCACCAGGGGCGCAAAGCTCTCCCCTGACCTGAGGAGGTTAATATCCGTTTTGATTGTCTGACCACTTGTCATAAGTGACACACTCAAGGTGGCTGTGGCTGACAGTTGAGGCTTCCCATGATCCTTTACAAGAACCAGCACACTCTGGATTTTGCTTCCTTCTGACTCATCCAGAGGATATTTGGTACTCACCTCACCACTATACTGCCCTACAGTCCAAGGACCATTGCTTTCTTCAAGCAGTTCATAGCTTAGCCACGCATTGTATCCAGAATCTGCATCCAAAGCGTGGATCTTGCCTACAATATGCCCAGGCATCAAAGGGACCACTAGAAGAATCAGGTTCTCTTCTGATGATCTTGATACAGAAGGTGCATTGTCATTCTCATCCATCACAAAGACTTGAACAGTCGCATTGCCACATAAGGAGGGCATTCCGGCATCCTTGGCTCTCACCTGGAACTCCAGCAGTTTCAACTCCTCATAGTCCAAGGACTGCAAAGCATAGAGCTTTCCACTCTCCGAATGTACAGAGATGTAGCTTGACAATGGCCAGAGATTCTCATCTATCCAGTAGGTGATCAGGGCATTCTCAGCTATGTCTGGATCTGCGGCAGCTACTGTGAAGATGTGAGCACCAGGGGGATTGTTCTCCTTCACAAAGACTGTGTAGGATGGCTGTGGGAAAGCTGGAGCATTGTCATTTATGTCACTAATGGGCACTAAGAGGGTAAGACTGGAAGACAGTGGTGGAACACCTTGATCTTCCACTGTCACAACCATCCTGTATTCAGCCACCTTCTCTCGATCTAGGACTGCACCAACAATTAGGGAGTAGTAGTTCTTGAAAGTGGACTCAAGTTTGAAGGGTATTCCAGTGGGCCTGAGGAAACAGTTTATTTCTCCATTGTTGCCAGAATCCCTGTCAGAAGCCCTCACGATGGCTACCACAGTCCC